GTGCACCTGCCTGTTTGTGAAGCGAGAGAGGGGGGGAGGGCGGGAGGGGGGGGTGGGGAGAGCAACATCAAAAGCAATTAGAAAGAAAGCCATGTTCTCTTTCTTATTTGTTTAAGAAAAAGTAACGGCATTGTGTTAAAAAATATACCTTTTCTGCTGAAACAGCATGGTATATAGGATGACCTTGCAATGCAAAATCAAGCATGCAAATGCATTTAATGTTAGAACAAAGCCAGGACATAGGAAGATGAAACATACCTTGCCACAAACTGGACAGTTATCACTTCTTTCCATCCACTCATATATACAACCAAGGTGGAAATGGTGAGAACATTTTGTCATAATCTTTGGGTTTTCTGTAGTATAATCTGCAAAAACGGATGCTCAAACCATAAGAAAAACCAGAATCCTTAGATGCCAGAGGTAGTTATCAACTTAAAAAGTAGAGAAGAAAGAAGCAAAGGAAATGCAGAATTGAAAGAAATTTCATGTTTCAGAATTTCCTTTTTTTGCCCAAAATTAGAGAAAAGATATTTTGTTTTAGATATGAAAACAGCAAGAAGTTTTGTTTCGGCAATCTACAGATAAACTGAAGGAAATTATACTGAAATCTGTATGAGCAATGATATCAAACAGAAATAAGAGAACTATCCCAATGCTCAGTCACGTGCAAATTATGTCTCAAATGCGTGCTTAAAAATATAGTAACATAATGACAGTGCCACAATAATTACCATAAAAACGCCATGAAACTAAAATTTCATATTCTTACCTTCGAGACATGTGGGGCAGACATCTTCATCTTCTGAAGAAGTGTAAACATGATCAAAACCTGTCTTTGATTTAGCTGTTGAGAGCTTCAATGAATATTTGGAATTGTAATCTTTAGATTCTTCTTCACATGTGAAGTCATTCCATTTGTTTGTGTTCCTCAAAGGTACAGGCTCTTCATCAACTTCACTTCTTCTCAACGGTTCAGTTTCCTCGTGCAAATGACTCGAGCCTTTCTCCCTCCTTGAGACCAGTCCGTCCCGTTGCAAACGGAAATATCTCGGATCTGCATCGTAAGGCAGAGGCCTTGGAGGAGAGCGGTACATATCATCTAGAGAGTTATCAAGTGATGCAACCGAATTCAAAGATGCCGTCCCCAGAGTGGATGAAGCGGTGACATGTTCTTCTCCTCTGCGAAACAATGACGTATACTGCAAAATGCAAGAATAAGCATTCTACAGTCAAATTGTAAATCAACTGTGAATGAGCCAATTGTACCATAGTAAGTCTTAGTAGCCTACATATCCTTTTATACCAACTGGAATGATTCCAAGCTAGTCTTCAGTGGAGTTTGGATTATTATGGCTTGGGAGATCCCTAAAACCATTTCAGTACAATGTACATCAAGGTACTGGATCAAATTACTCATTTCAAAAAATTTCCTGTACTGTATAAACTAATTTTTGCGATATACTCTTTCATCTGGGATATGTAACTATGTAAGCATTTGACAAAACTGTGATTCTGAAAATACATGTGTTAACGAACTATAAATCCATAAAGTAAATTGGAGAATTAATCCACCAGTACCAGTGGAAAAAATAAGCATAGGCTAAGCTGATTGCATGGAAAGTCGTAACTGATGTGTCATGGACTCACCATAACCTCGTAAGTTTGAATGGGAATATATCAAAAGTTTGAATATACCTGTTTAAACAACCGTGGGATACATCTACATCTTTGTATACGAACATGTCAACATAGATTACTGACTTAAACATGGAGAGAGTTAAATGGATTCGCAGGCCAAAAGCTCATACAGAAAAATCAATAGGGCAGATGCCTGCAAGAAAGGCCTTGTGCTGTGCAGAATCTAATTTGAGTCTTGAAATTGAATTCAAACCATCTCCAAGTAACTTTATTAAGGAAAATGGTAAAGCTTACCACAGCCAAGAAGTTCTGAACAAAGCAACGGAGGCATATACAGTTTCGATAAACAGAGCTGTTAGGATTTGTCAAATCTTCGTATTCATCTTGCAAACAGCAACAAACACCACCCATTAATACCAGCTCCCAACCTCCTTTAATAAGTAACCTTCAACTATCTCAATAGTTTCCTGATGTTATTATAGGAACATTTAAAAATCAAATCCGGTGGCACGGAGATAATTTAATGAAACAGAGAGAGGATTCAAGCTCGCAGAACTTAATGTTTCTTTGCGAACCAGCACCCTCTCTCTCAGTCTCTCTCTCTCTCCCCCTCTCAAGTGCCCTTTCGAATGTAGTAGGCCTTAAACAGCAGATATAATATATTTTCACCTGCAAAAGGAAAAAATGAACACTTGTTGGATCAGAAACTACTAACAAATAAAATTCCATATCTATGAAATTAATGCAAATTGCCATCAATGACATTAAATTTTACAATTGAAGAGCATATGGCGAAGTTGGTGCGCAGAAATTATAGAAAACATGAGTAAATCCGGTTCACTCATCTTCAGATTTGCAATAATTAAAGCATCATCTTTTATTCATTTTCTTTCTGTTCTTGTTAAGGAAGTGAGTAATAAAGACTGAAGTTTTGCTGTATAATTAAGGGAAAAAAAATAAAAATTCATCAAATTAAAACCAACACTAGAACGAGAAAAATCCAGAAAGGAAACACTCGAGTCAAAGAAATTCTAATTTTTTCAAAATAATTTCATAATTTCTTCAAAATCAAGCAAAGATAATAATTACTTCAGTTATAAATATCAATAATTATTAAATACATATCCGGAAAAGTAGGAAAATTGATTAATTTATCATTTACAGAAAATCCCATCGCAGATTGCACAATTCTGACACTGATTTCAACCCGGTAATTAAAATTAAGAGACGAGTAGTAAAACGGAACTATTCAGCTAATCAACTAAAAACGACATAAATAAATAAAGCATAAACTTACAGAATAAAATTCAAAAATGATCGTACAGACTCGGAAAACGTGTAATCCAAAGTCAGATGACTCAGATGTTTCAAGATTCTATCAAATATAGTAGAAAGCAATTTTCGGAATTTTTGTAGTCCTGAAAAAGGTCGTCAAAACTCGAATGAAAGCCGCACGCGTTTTCTCCGCCGTGTTGGGTGAGCTGGAGCATGTCGTTTTTTGTTTAATCAAAAATCAGATTTTTAATAAATTTTAATAAAATATATGATTAAATAATTGATAAAAATTGTGAATTTCATAAAATATATTCAAAATGGATTTAAAAGAAAATAAATAAAATAAGAGAATAAGTTTCACACCAAAGAATTTCATCACATTTAAATTTCTAAGAGTTGAAATCGCTATTTAGATTATTTTGGAGTAAAGAAAAGAGGATTATATTCAGTATTCACACCATAATTTTATTAAATATCGTCTTGTCCTCCGTTTGAGAAAAATTTATAATCGATTAATTAATAAATAGAAGAATTAAATGATGGATACAGAATTAGATGTTTATTATCTAATAAAGAAAAATAGATTTTTGATTTGGGACAAAATGAAAATCAATTTTGATTAAAAATGTTTTTCTAACAATAATCTACTATTTTAACAAATTAAATTAACAAATGAAATAACGCAAATATTAGATTATATGTAATCATAAATTATTAAATATTTAAAAGATTGTAGTAACCTATTTTTTTCCCTAATTAATTAGGACTTGATTATTCAATATTAGTATCAAGAAAATAAAAATGGGCCACGTTTTTAGAACTCTGTTAATGATTTATTTTTTTTACTAATTACAACATGACTAGATTTAGTTAATGATTTATTTTATTTTATTGGTTATTAATTTTATAGTTTGCTATATTTTAAATAATGATGCCTTTCATAGCCTTAATTACTGTGTTTGGTCATTTAAGAAATAAATAAGTTATTTTGATAATACTTCTCTTTTTGTTGTAAAATTAATTTAATTTCTATTTTTTTAACACATCCAATATTATATTTTCTAAAGGTACATAACAGCTTGTTTGGTATAACTATTAATTCAATTAAAATCAATTTTTTTTTTATCGTTATTTCACTATTTCAGTTGTTATTTTTGAATTATTCTCTCACAAATAAGACACATTTTATCTCTAATGGTCAAAAAATAATTATCAAAATATCTACCAAACAAGCACTAAGACAAATCACCGCGGACCACCGACGACGTAAATATGGGTCTTGTAATGTATTGTGGAAATCTTCAAACCTTATTAGATTGGATCATGAACTTGCCAACATCAATCATAAATTTTTCAAATTTAGTAGGTTTTATCCTATCTTCTAATTTCTATCAGCACTAAAGTATCTATGAATGATTTTCATCCAAATTTTGTTACTTATAAGTCCATGTTTGTTTCTCATTCTTTCCTCATTAAAATAAAAAAATATGACCGTTATTCATCACATCAAGTCACCATATTTAAATTTCTATCTCTTGTGTAGAACTCGTAACAATTATATTTTTTATTTTCATTTTTACATAAATGGGAAACAAACGGGCCATCAAAAGTCAGTGTTTGACCATAATTTGATCACTTTTGGAAAGGGTAATAAAAGTGGGATTCAATTTTATCCTTCTAAAATCGTGCCTTTGACACATTTTTCTCTTCAATCTTCACCTCGATTCACTATCGAGGCATCACCAATTGGTTATAGGGTCTTTAGTGCTTGACCACTCCTCACTACCTTCATTGCCATGTACCTATAAAAGAAACAATCAACCTACCTTTATCAATGCGTAAGAAACTCAAAAATTGACTCAAACTTTATAGTTTTGGTAATCTGCTCATTTCACTAGTTTTTACTTCATCTTTAGGTGACTGATTACTGGTCAATATAAAGTGTAATGAAAGTGGCACATTTACAGGCTTTGAATCCTTCATACCAAACTTGATAACTAACTTTTCAAAGTAACGAGTTTAAGTGAAAATTGATTTAGGACTATCCCTAGCAATAATCATACCTAACATCCCTCGTATCAAAATTCAAAATTGAGTATTTCTTTTATAAGATACTCATTTTAAAACCTGTTTTTAGTATGAAAGAAAGTTTGTTATATCAATGGAGCGCCAATACAATGACCTTCTTAATATACAAACTAACTCATTTTTTCCTTAAACTTCATGAGTCAATCTTCATTTTGCTTGTGGTGGCTCTTCTACAAGAAAAAAATAGGATTTACGTGTAAAATACCTTTTATTACAAGAACATATGATTTAAAAAAAAAATTTCAAAAAAAAAAAGAGTTTTATTTTAATTATTGTCAAGCGAGGGCTAAAAATGATAATTAAGCCCCTGTTTAATCACCGTTATTTTCAAAATATATTATTGTCTTTCTTATTTTCAATCACACATTCTTCAATAATATTATATTTCATGCAAATTCAAAACTATTTTATATTTTTTAATCATACATTATTCATCGAAAATATTATTCCAAAATATATTTTGAACAAAAAAAATGTTCAAATAGGCTTTAACTCAAAATATAACAAAATAATTTATATTGAGCTAGTACTAAAATTTGGAAAACGATAAATTGTTAATATGTGTTTGGGCCACATTCTTTTTGAAGAATGTATTTTGAAACTAGTAGAATGATGGAAAATGTGTAGTTAAAAAGGAAAGAAATTTTTTTTATTTACATATAATATTATTTTAATAAAGAATATGTAGTTGAAAAGAAGAAAGAAAAAAATATACTTTAGAAAAAATAGAAATCAAACACCCCTAAGTCTGTCAATTTCATCAAAAAAGGTTAGAACAGAAAGTGACAACTTTTGGTAGCAAATGACGAAGTCCAATAAAAAAGAGATGCGCGGTTGTCGAGATAATTGTCCCAATGATCAATGAACTTATGTTTATTTCTTTGATTGTTCAAAGAAATTTAAGATGTTGAGTTTTAACTACTAAACTTGTTAAAACATTGGACTTTATTGTAACGTCCCAAATTTTTATAAAAATTGGAGTGTTATGAAAATTCAATTTTCATTTTAATAAATGCGGAATGACACAAATGAAAGAAATTCTTTATTTCTAACCATAAAAATAAATTTAAACGCGAGATATGAGTTTCTAAAAATTTAAAACACAATCAATTAACTAATTAAACAAATGAGTCTTTGAATAAATAAAACTAACAATTAGATTTAGAGACATGAAAATAAACAAACTTAAATGTTTAATATCTTTTTCCTTTCTTTGATTCACCGGGTAGTTCGCATCACCGTCCCGTCACAATTTCAATCAACCCAAACTAACCTGTAAAAATTTATAAGAGTGAGTATTTGAAAACACTCAACAAGATACGTGCAATTTTCATACACAATTATATAACAAATAAAATCTACATTTCATACCACTCTGCTGTTATGGAGTATATCGGTGACTAAATGACATACCCATCTTAGCTCCTTTTTAATCCTTTAAGATTTCATCTCTCTTTAAAAGAACTCGAAGGTCCACAGGCAATCATGCATATTTAGTCCCCATTTGATTTTCATTTTTTGACCACAAAAATGAAAAAGATGACCGTTATCCATCACATCAAGCCACCACAATTGACTTTCTATCTCTAGTATGAGTCTTCTAACGACTATATTTTTTATTCGTATTCTTAAATCTATGAGAATCAAAAGGGGCCTTAATTGAATATAAAAGCATAACAAAACGAAAACACTTATACAAAGTATATTAACTTGTTTATTGAAAGGTTGCGAATGAACGTAAAATAATATGCGAGAAACCCCTTATCTTTCTCTCTGCCTCAAGTACTCTATCTTTTATTTCTTTTCTTTTTGCGTGAATAAGATTGGCTATATATATAACAATACTTCTATAAATTTGTGTATGGTTAGAAGTCCAAATTTGTAAAAACAAGTAAGGAAGTTATATATGAATAGACTTTTCATGGAATAGGTATGGGTTAGCATGACATGCAATTATGACTTACCTATTTTTAGCAAAACTTTATTTAAGTGGGACTGAGTCTAGGAGACACAATCATAAGTATATTAAAGAAGAAATAACTAGTGGTATTTGAAGTGGAGTATAATTAATACTCAACACAATCATAAGTAGATTCATGACCAACTAATATGAGATAGGTGGAATTCGTACATACCTACCCATCCTGCACTCTTGCAAAATTCCAATTCAAATAAAATACAAATAAGTGACAATTTCTTTTAAACTTCAATAATTTAAGTCTAACTTATCCAAATTAACTTTTTCTTGAGTTCAAGACTTCTAATTAATTACAAACTTCAATAAGAGCTCAATATTGATATACTAAATCTTATTCCATCATTATTAAATTATTTAACCTAACTAAAATAGGAATTAAAATCATATTCCATTTTAGTCCCCAACTTTTAAAAATATAACAAACAATTTTTTTAATTCTTTTTTTTTCGGCTTGCTACAATCTATCATCCGTCCTCGAAATTACCTGCGTACGGGTCTTCCGTGACATGTCATTGGGCTAAAGTTTAAACTCTGGCATTTTCCTTCTTTTTTGGCTTGTTATTCTTCTTCGAAAGATCTTTTTTGCAATTTTTGAAAATATACCATATTTTACCGCATTGATATCACACATACTTTCCAAACAGACATTCACCACTATGCATTTTGGGCGGGGTGAAACGACTTGTCCAAAAAGGCTCGGCTCCTTGCTGAGGAGTTTGGTCAATTTTCAACTTATTTGAGATTGTTTGGGCCGTCTGCAATACTCGGTTATAGGTGGTAAATTGATGGGATGCCATTATTCCACCAATCTCAACTATGCTCTTATGGAGTATATCGGTGACCAAGTGACATACCCATCTTAGGTCATTTTTAATCCTTTAAAATTTCATCTCTCTTTAAAAGAACTCGAAGGTTCACTAACAATCATGCATAGTTAATTGAATATAAAAGCATAAGGTAATGAAAACACTTGCACAAAGTATCTTACCTCGTTTATTGAAAGGTTACGAATGAATGTAAAATAATATGCGGGAAACCCCTTATCTTTCTCTCTGCCTCAAGTACTATCTCTTTTATTTCTTTTCTTTTTGCGTGAATAAGATTGGCTAGCCATGCCTATATATATAATACTATAACCAATACCTCTATGAATTTGTAAGTGATTAGAAGTCTAAAGTTGTATTAAAAAAAAAAAGAGTAAGGAAGTTAATTATGAATAGACTTCTCATGGAATATGTATATTTAGCATGACATGCAATGATGACTAACCTATTTTTAGCAAAACCTTATTTAAGCGGGATGGAGTCTAGGAGACACAATCATAAGTATATTAAGGAGGAAATAACTAGTGGTATTTGAAGTAGAATATAATTAAGTGAAAATTACATTAGATGTCATTTTTTGAGTTTGCATTTACAAAAATGTCATATTTTAATAGTTTTGACCAAACTATCACTTTATGAATTTTATGGCCCTCAAAAAAATTGAAATACCTTGGATGTCCTTAATTAAAATTGATTTGACTAGATGAAAGAATAGTACAAAAAGTTAATTTGCATGACATCAAAAGCTCCTATCTAACTACTTACAAGAAAAAAACAAAAAACTAAAAAATATGAAAACTAAAAAGGTAAAAATATTCATTTACATAGCAATTAAAGCCCTAAACCTAAACGGCTCTCAACATCCTCTCTCATTCTCTCTCACTCAAGGTTGTCGGTGACTGTCAAAATATCCATATTTTTGTCTAGGTTTGTTGTTCTAAAAAGTTTATACAGTTTACTCTAGTAGCCATGCTGAAGCCCTAAATCTATGTACATTTTATTAAAATTATAGTGAATTTGCTTAAATTTAGGAGAATTGTTGAAGATCAACATCTACTTTTTGACATGTTTCTTTCTTTTTGACTTGATTTGGATGTCTTCGTGTTCCCTTAAGGAAAAAAAGGTGTAATTCGAAAAGAGATTATCTTGATTCATGAAATTTTTTCAGTTGATGGTGGGTAGATAGAAATGTTGGTTTGGTTGCAAGTTCATTGTAATTTTTATCTTTACTTTCTTATAACTGATATCATAAAGTCTAGCAAGTATCCTTGTGAACTCACAAATTTTGGTGTGCAATGAGATGGTTGTTATGTAAATGGACTTCTTGCACATTTTAATCAACAAAAAATGGTCAAACCCCTATTAGTTAATGGTAGAAGATTAACTATAAGTAAGAATAAACGTCTCTTCACATACATAGTATTTAATAATAGCTATTAAAAATGTGAATATACAATTGGGCTTTTGTATTATTTTCGGTTTTCTTCTCGCCTCCCCCCCCCCCCCCCCCCCCCCACCCCCGG